GATTTATTGGATTATACAAGTTATGGTTACAGTGTCAAGAGAATCGATGAAACATTCTCGAGATGACAAAATCATAGAGATGGAATACATATTCTAGGTTGCCAGGGGTTAGGGATGGTGAGGGTGAGAGGTGAGTATAACTATAGAGGGATAATTGGAGGGAGTTCTTTTTTGTGTAAACATGATGATATAGTCTTTGAAGTATTAGCTTTAAGTAGGTGTTTCTTTTTGATAGATTTTTTAGAGTTTATCTCCTAAGCCTGTTTAGCCATCAAAATGTAAACTCAGTTTCACAAGTGCTAGGCACATACTCCCAGGATGAAATCTGGTTCTGGGTTTGCTTATTCTTCTTCGTTTCGTTTATAGCTTATGTGGATACTGTACTTTCTTGCTGTGTAAGCAGTTTTTTAAAGTGAATTTTCTTACTAAATTTTAAAAGTTGTACCTAATCGTATTAAAGTATCTAGTCTGTCATACTGCTGGAAATCAGTGTTCCCATGTATTTGTACTTTAGTTTTAGCAAGTATGTTGCTATTCTGTGTCTCAGCTCTCTTATATTTTCCTTATATACTGTTTTTCTGTATCTGTTCGGTTTATCACACATCTAGTGCAGGCCCATTACAATCTACGCCCAGTTATGTTTTCTAATCTAGCTTCTTGTTCTTTCACTAGCCGTATTATGGTTTATTAAAGACATGTATTGTAGCCACATTTCTTTTACTCATGTCATTCCAACCTGCTTAAATGCTGTCTCTTCTTTTGACTTCATCTGCTCCTTCCAGCACTTTTGAAATTTTGGGCCGAATAATTCATTTTTCTTGGGGGGCTATCCTGTGCATTGTAAGGTGTTTGTGGCATCCCTGGCCTTTACTCACTAGATATAAATAGTACCTCTCACTTGTGGCAACCAAAAGTGTTTCTAGACATTGCCAGATGTCCTTTGGGGGGCAGTATCTTCCATGATTGAGAACCACTGTTCTAGCTCTATATGAACTTGGTCTCTCAGTTGAAGAGCCTTTTCTGATTATCTCTGCCAGTGACTTTTACCTTCTAGATTTTCTGTAGTGCATATTGTCTGGATTGTGCACTTGACCCTCACTACATTTGGTTGTGCATATTTTCTCTCTCTGCCGTGTGCGTGTGTGTGTGTGTGTGTGTGTGTGTGTGTGTGTGTCTGTTCGATCTCCCAAGTTCTAGGTATAGTTTACTTTGTTGTTTGTTTGCTATTTTGGTCAACTCAGAACACTTGTTAGTAGTTTTTAAATATATCAATTACTTACTTTTTCCCTTATTTTCCATTTTTTTTATGGAAAAATGGGGGTTTAGAAAATTGAATCATTCTTGAAAATGTAGAGAACTTTGAGGTGTTCTAAATTCTAATACTCTGTTAATGGTAATTGTGAGATTTGCAGACATAGAATTAATATCACTGTAACAGTGGTGTGTATACCCAATAATAACCGGAAATTTCATGACAGCATAATATAGTTATAAAGATATAAGAAAGATGTAATTTCTGTTAGGTGTAGCCACTATGTAAGTATCTACAAAAATGTGCAGTAGAGTAGAAATTAAAAAATAGACTGAGAAATATAGAAAATGGAAAGATTTGTAGAAGCATGAAGTAGAAATGATTAGTTCTACAGAGTGAGATGAGCAAAGTAATCAACATGTCGAGGTAAATTGTTAGGAATGATGGATGTAGCATCTGGTTAGGAGTGACTTGTGTAAAGCTGACAAATGTGATATGTGAATGTTAGCAAGTTGGAAACAAGTTGAGCATAGAGAGGTTAGCTTCTTAGTACCGAGTAAAGAGAAACATGTATGTTTTGCACTGGTTGGACAAGACTTGTGTAAAGCTGACAAATGTGATATGTGAATGTTAGCAAGTTGGAAACAAGTTGAGCATAGAGAGGTTAGCTTCTTAGTACCGAGTAAAGAGAAACATGTATGTTTTGCACTGGTTGGAAAAGATACAGCTCAGTTACAGATTTCTTTCTACTTAAAAGAAAATTATCAGCAAATTCCAAGTAAAATAAATTGATGCTTGAATCTTAACTACCTTTTATAAGTTGTAGGCCAAAATTTTTATGAAAAGCAATCATAAACATAATACGTGTTCATTGTAGAAAAATTAGAAAATAATGAAAAATATGGGGAAAGTGAAAGGTAGTTACAGTTCCCAAAGCCTAAAGCACTATTTTCATTTAGGTTAATTCCATTCTCTTGATTTCCATGTGGTCTCAGTCTCTCTGTCTAGATATAGACATATGATGTGCCTTTATGTTTGTATAAAAATACACTGTATGTGTAAGTATATGTTTGCATGTATATATATTTATATAAAACAGATTACTTTATATGAGATATTTTATGGCCTGTTTTTTTTATTTAGTATTATGAACATTTTTCCACATCAGTAAAATTCTTAAAAGTGATATTAAGTGACTACATAACATTCTACTTGAGATTATCCTGAAATCTTTTTAACCATCTGTTGTTAAGCATTTAGTTTTTTTTTTCATATATGTGCACACAGGTACACATAAGCACACACATGTATATACATATAACTTATAGTGAACCACTCTAATGAAACATTTTGAGTACATTTTCTATTTTTTTGGAAGAGTTGGAAGCTCCATTGCAGTCTGCCTCATATTTTACCCTGTGAAATTCATTCTACCTGTCTTTCTTAATAAAAGGAACCCCAGTTTTATTCCTGGGCATTATTACCAATGCTGGAGACTGCATTCCCTGCTCTTCCAAGTGGTAGTAAGGTGTGGCCAAAGCACTAAGTTATGGTTTATAAACTGTAGGCTGAAATAGAGAGAAGGAGCAGGATGGGGACCTTTCTTTCCCCATCCTTCTTTCTGATGCCTGTACTGTGGTTGTATTAGCTGGAGTTCCCATAGCCTTGGAGTATGAAGCAACTTTGAATAGAAACAGTATGTGGTGCAGCAAAAAAGTGGAAAGAATTTGGGTCCCTATATTGGAGCTGCCACATCAGCCTTTGTCTATTTCTGGACGTTTACGTGGGAGAAATTCTCCTCTTTGTTTCTTCCTCTCTTATTTAAGTCATTATATTATTAAAATTTTTTTGGGCTGAGGAAGGATCTGAGCTAATCCTTTCTGGTTAGGGATACCATTGTTTGATGCTCTATGTAGTGAGGTGATAGGTCAAATGTAAGTAAACATGTATTGGGTCATGGTAGATTCTAGATCCATGTTCAAACCAAAATCTACTTTGAGACTGGAAAGAGATTAATTGGTATTAAAAGAAAAACACTTAAAAGGATACATAATTTCTAGAGCTCTTTGATAATTATATTGCTGAATTTTGTTCTCAGGCGCTTTTAATAATTATCACAAATATTATTTCAGAAAACACTTGATAGCTTTTAGGAAGAATCCCCCCAACCCCAACCACTGAGGATTATGTATTATATTTTATCAGAATAATCCCTTCAAGCCCTATGAATTTTTAATATTATTAAATATCTCGGCCGGTCACTTTGACAAGGTCAGCTCATAAATATGACTTTTAATGCTTTTGTATTAACTTTATTGGAAGAATTTTGATAAATGAAAAATTTAAAAACCATTTTTTATAACTGTAGACTTTTTAGTATCAATTCTAAGAAAGTTATTCATAACTTGAAATAAGCAAAGGATATACATTTAAAAAATTATTAGACTTTTTTATGAGCAGTTTTAGGTTTACAGAAAAAATGAACAGAAAGTACAAAGAATTTCTATATACTCAGTCTCTCAAAGATACACATTTTTATCAGTATTCCACTGAATATAATGTTATACACTAAAAAAAGACTTCACATCCCTGAACAAAGTATGCATTATTTTATAGTAAGAAAACTATACACTATTAACAGTCATTTTATTCTAATTCAGGGCTTTCCTTCTTCAGCACTATTAACATTTTAGGCCAGCTAAATTTTTGCCATGGCAGGCTGTCCTGTGCATTGCAGGGTGTTGATCAGCAACCCTGATCTCTAACCACAAGGTGTCCCCAGTCATGACAACCAAAAATGTCTCCAGATACTGCCAAATAAATGTCTCTTGGGGGGCAAATCGCCCCAGTTGAGAACCATTGCTCTAATCAAGTTATGACATTTTATTGTTTGCTGTATTTTTTAGGTTGAGTTCAAATATAAGGGGTCTGTAGTTCAACAAACCTTCACATGGAATTTGTATAGACAAAGGTAGACTCTTCCTTGCTGCTTGAGGATTTTAGGCAATATGCAGTCTTACTGAGCCTCAGTTTTCTTGACCGTAAAATAAGTAAAAATTACCTAACTTGAAAGGTTGTTTTGAGAATTCATTGAGATTAAATACTTTAATCAAAGTATTTTATATAATTTAAGAGTTTATAATTTAAGAGTTTCCTTCTCTTTAAATGTTGTGCTATGTTGTTTGGCTTTATTTCTTTAAATGTGTGAAAAACCCATTTTACAAGATTCTTATTTCTGTGGAATAGGCTATCATAGTTAGGGTCTACTGTTTGTGAATTTCAAGAGTACTATATATACTGTGGGTGGTTAAAAACTTTAAATAAATGTTCAGTGAAGACTGATTTATGAGGTCAGTTGTGTTTTGACTCTTTGTGGTGCTCCAATTAGAGTGTCACTATATTCATATTATAACAGTTAAGTGATCTCATGTGTTCTTTCAAGGACTTTGAGCTTCTCAAATTGAGGCTAGTATTAGATGTCAGCCAATCACTTTGTCCTTCGAAGTTTTTGTCTTATATGTCTGAAATCCCGCCAATTTTAACAGCTTGTGTGTCAGCTCCAATAGATGAAGCTGGCCTCTGTCAGCTAGTACTTAATCCATTAAAGACTTCAAAAAAATTGATATAGTTTTCAGCTAATAATGTCTATATCCCATTGCTAATTTGTAGAATTATAAAATATTATTCACTAGTGAATGAAATGCCATCTGTAATAATTAAGGTTATTCTTACTGTTCTACCACTGCAGAAAATTTCCAAAGACTTGGTGAAGAAAGACTTTGTTAATGAAGAAGATTTTTCTGATAGGAAAAAATCAGACAGGCTGTAGCACTATTATACTGTAAGTATTATTTTGAAAAATAAGTGTAAAGAATATTTAAATGTCCAGTTGTTTGGGAGAAAATGTGTTAGGCAAAGATATTATATGTAAAATATAGAGGAGGATATGTTATAATCATGTTAATAATTTATAAGAAGTAATCTTATGCAGTCTTTCAAAAATTGAAATGTGTTTTTATGTATTGAGATGAGGATTTTACCAATAGCCTTGAAAAATATTTCTAATTCTAACAAGGATTGATCTAGTTTATATACATTTGCTTATTTAAAACTATCAGAATCCAGGAAAATCATTGTAGTGTTGTAGGTTTGTGATTTGTTTGGGTGACTTATTGTTTAGGTTATTTTGCAGAATTATTTATTTGCTGATTTATTTATGTATTTCATTATTTATTTATTTGATTATTTAGTAAATTATTTATCTGATGAATTATTAATACATCTTCATGACATGCTTTAAATTATTTATAACTTAATTTTGAGTTTATTGCTTTTAGACGCTGCATTGTTACTGACTAGTTTTGATTTTTTTTCTTTGTGGTTCTTTAAAATTAAAGTATTAGCTCTAAGGCAAAACTATATTCATTGCAATGCCCATGGATTTTTTAAAGTAATTTATGGTAGAGATAAAATTTCAGTTATGCTTTGTTTAGCTCCAGATTTACCTGTTTAGGGTTATCGATGATAGAATGTTTGTGTGTTGTGTGCATACTCATCTGAAAGTCACAAATTAATAATACAGCCTATCATCAGTAAACTGAGATTGAACATCTAAACCTCGGTCCACATTACCCTTTCTACCTCTAAAGGACAGGTCTGTATTTCTGACTTGCTTTAGAATAAATAATTGAGTCTTAGTTATTGTATTTTAGTGGCAAATCTGTTTTACTACTGGAATCTTTTTGGGAAGTTCAGAGAAATTAAGTCCAACTTATATTTGGATCTCTGAAATATAAATTTGACTGATGTCATCTTTGTTTTTTTAAATCCCCATTAATGTGTATTTGGAAAATAGCATGACGTTTATGTAGATGTTTATGCTGGTCATAGTTGACATGTTTATTCCATATCATATCTCTTATGGAATGTTTCGTACCACTTTATTTTAATGAACTAAAATGGACATGGGTCTTTATAAATGCAAGCTATAGTTTCTCTGACTTTAGCTAATAATTCTCTTAAGTAAATTTCTATTTTTAACCAAATAAGGTATATCTTCTTTCTACTGACTCTGTTTAACAAGAGAGTGTAGTTATTAGAGCTCACTCATTGAATGGGTTTAATGAATAGTTTAAAATAGTTGTTTGGTTAAAAGAGTGTCATACACAACATGGTCTTTCTTTATGTTTGTGTGCAGTAAATTACTGCATAGTTTATAGTTTTAAGATTTCAGAGAAAAGCAGCATTGTACATTTCAAGTTAGTGAAAATGACTTCTGTAGACAGGTTGTAAATTATGCCTATTTATACCCAAATTTCTTATTTTGAAATATTAACTATGTGAACATTTGATTAGAATATTGCTTTAGTATATTCATATACTTGCCTTAAAGAAAGGGGTTTTATTTGATTTTATACTTGATTTTAAAAATGTTTGTATTGTACATATCTGTGACTTTTTTGTAATGGAGATGAATAACACAGATACTGTGAGGTATGGAGTTTTATTTTAAAATGTGCTTCAGTATGCCAGTGTGGCTGTTTTAGAAGAAAAAAGCTTCCTTTTCCAGTGTCGAATAAGATCTGCTGTATTGGTTGTCACTATACTATACCCAGCCCACATTATTAACATGTATTCGTGGACTATGACCTGCATCATCGAAGTGATCTTTCATTAGAAGACACACATATGTGTGCACACACATATGCACATACATATGAAATATTATCCTATCATCAAATTTTTTAGAACTCGTAATTTTTTAGAACTCATTTTTGAAAAGAGGCATTAACGGAGACTATTGTAATAATAGCATTTATTGAGTACTTATGTGCAAACAGTGCTCATATCTTTTAATGGATTTTTATTCTTCACAGTGAGATAAGTACAGTTATTATCTTCATTTTACAAATGAGGAAACAGAGACTTAGAGATGTTAAGTAACTTGCTCATTGCGACACAGCTAGTTAGTAAATGATGACACTAGGATTAGGACTTATTTAGTCTGACTCTTAAGAGTCTTACGATTTTGTATGTGCAGTTGGTATAATGTATTTTTTCCCTAGAGCTGTTTCATTAAAAAAAATTTATTAGAGAATGTAATTATTTATCTCTGATTGGTTTAACTTGCTAACTGTTTTCACTTTGCATAACACTTGGTCATCTTTTTTAAACAGTCGGCAGGACTTGAGCTTCTTGAATTTTCTGATTTGATTCTTCTTGTAATGCTATATAGTAGACTAGAATTACATACTGAAGAAGAATTTGTGCCTCAGAGAAATTGTAGGTTTGCCTGGTAGATGTCTAATACAGATCAGATCTTTTGTCTTTTAAGCCCAAGGCTATTTCCAGGGCTCTGTTAAGTCAAATTGATTTTCTTATAAAAGTAATGATGTTTGCAGGGTTAGATATATACATATTGTTAAAAAGAGTGATTAAATATCTGATGCCTAAGGTTTTATAGATGTGATCACAAATGTACTATTAAATTAACTCTAAATATAGTGTTTAATACACAGTTAAGTGTTTTAATATGTGCATAAGAAAGGGCAAGAAAGTAACCAATTGTAATTTTAAACACTTACATGTAATTATTTAAAAGATTCTGGGGAACCTCAGAGAGTAAGGAAAAACATTGTGAATTTGGTGTGAGGCTAAGAGATAAGGATCTTTCCAGCCCCATTTTTTTACCTGCAGATAAAGGGAAGCCTCCATCCTGAGTCTGAAACACACAAAGGAATCAGAAAACAGATGAGTTAGAGTTAGACAGCAGCAAAGTTTGGATGATGTTGGTATGAGTGCTGTAAGTAACTGCATCTGTATGAGCAGCAGGGTACTATGTAAATCCCACAAAGTCTTAAGTTAGATTTTTCAAGTAAAGAATTAATATTACATTATAAAATTCTCCAAACTTGTGATTTAAGTAATATGAATACTGTAATAGCTAGATGAACATATAATTTACCGTCCAATTCAGGACAGTTTTGAGAATGAAAGGATATACTGTAATATGCCAACACAGTAGGTGCAAACTGGGACCATCTTGGGAAAATTGAGACCTATGGTCACCCTAGTAATATCTCAAATTCCTATTGTGTAATTCCTAATAGTCTTATATATTTAAGAGAAATCTGAATTTATATGCAGTATCTTCAAAATGTTTTATATTATGATAAAACTAATTTCAATCATGGCCACTATTTATGTGGTATATTAGCTGACCAAGGCAGTTTGTGGCTATGACTTTTATAAAGCATGATTCTGATGTTTAACAGATTTTGAAATCTATTTTTAAAATGAAAATAAAGAGATATTACTATTAGGAAGAGATAAGTATGGCAAAGTTGGTTATAGTATAGTGGGTAGTTCTAAAGTTTTTCTTCATATAAGATTTTTTAAGTGCTTGTTTTGCCTTGTAAATCTAATTGATGGCATATTTGACATAATACTGAAAACTAATCCTACTATACCATAATCCTACTATAACATAAAGTTATAATTTTATGTTGGATGATCCAGTGGTCTTTTTTTTTTTTCTTAAAAAAAATGTTATATGTTATAGATAATGATAAGTTGGCAGTTTCGCCAAAACATTTTGAAAACAACTGTTTTTCCTTGGTGAAATTTTGTTTGGGAAAATGAGAATCTCTAGAAGTGAGTTGCTTAAAAGTTTGGTGGTTTTTGTGTAGTTTTATTTTTTATTCCCTCTTGACACATACTTATCTAATGTGGCATATTGCATTATTAGTCATAATTAGATTATTAAATTTAATGTGCATTTGGAGTATAGATGACTTGTTAAGTTGGACCAGGAAGCCACACAGGCATATTTTTATTTGAATCTACATTAAAAAGAAAAATTCACATGCAGTCATTCTTACTTATTCACATGTGTGATATCAGAACTCCTTTTTTTTAGAAAGGCCTACCTAGTAACAAAAGTGAGAGTTTCCGCATATTCTGCCTGGAGTTTGTCACAGTGAGAAGCACTTTGTGAAATACTACTACAGTTGTAAGAGCAATAATGTACTTATGTTGGCTCTGAAAGTAGCTCCTTTATAATTATGACAAGTAAAAGTACAGCCAAAGGTCACATTAAATACAAGATTTCTTTCACACCTCATCCATTTTGTGGATAGCATGTGAAGTAATTTGGGTCCCTGCACTGATATTTTAAGAGAGCAACCCAAGGTTGTTCTCGTGGAAGTGTTTCAAATATCTTTCCTCCTGTCTCCCATGTGGTTGCAAAATTTGGCACAAATGTGTATTTGAATACTGGACTAATTAAATAGAACCTTATTAAATTTAGAGTTTGCAAAATAAAAAGGAACTTTTGTAGAGCACTAAATAATACTGACATATAAATGTCCTTAATAGTACAGAATATTATAGTGACTAAAAGCAGTATCTTAGAATTGACTACCTTAGTATTGATACTGTTTGCTGAAATGGTCAACACCAAACGACATTGCAACAATAACAAAAGCAAAATAAAATTGCACGAATGAAATTGTAAGTTATGGCATGCCTTTACATACATAATCTGTTGATCAGATTCTATTTTTGACTTCAATTTGGTTAAGTAAAAGTTGGAATATTAAAAAGGTCATGTATAGAAAAGCTTCTATTAAAAAACTAATATAAAGAGAATGTACATATGTTCCAGAGTGGTTATCAATTTCCTTTAAGTCATCCTTAGTACACAATACCAAAAAATAGAGACTGAAGAAAGTTTGGAAGAGGATAAACTCGGCAAGTTATAATTTTTAGCATAATTGATAAAGCATTTATGTTTTTCAAAATTTTATTAAATTTATTGGAGTGATATTGGTTAAAAAGATT